TTCTGGGGTTGTGCTGTCATGCGGAGGAGGCTCACTCTCCATAGGTGGCGATGCAGGTTCCGGGCTGCCATCCTCTTTCTCAGCCACGGTCAGGTCTGGTTCCTCGGGCAGCAGGCGGCGGCGTAGCTGATCAATGTGCCTTCGTAAAAGTTGGCCCCCTTCTGTTGAAACCTTGTACAAAAGAGGTCCGGTTACTTGGGTCACCCTCGCCGGAACCCATTTTGGACCACTAGCATAGTTCTGTGCAAAAACAGGGTCACCTGGGAACAACCCGCGAGGGGCCTCTTGACTCACCGGGGAAGGGCATAACACTGGAGCCCGGTCTGGGTGAAGGTGATCCAGCCGCGTCGTGGGGTGGCGGCCCATCAAGAGTTCAGAAGGACTGCCGCCCATGTGGATGTGCTTGGGGTCATTCGGTGGCCAAACAAGAAGATATCAAGCCAGCGGTTCCAGTCCCCATGGGTGAACCTCTGGAGAGCATCCTTGGTGGTTTGGACCATTCATTCGGCCTGGCCGTTGGTCGCCGGGTGGAAGGGAGCTGACCGCACATGCCGGATAAAGTTCTGTTCCAAGAACTCCTGAAACTCCCCAGAAGTGAGTGCCGTGCTGTTGTCTGTTACCACCATTGAGTGCCATGCCGTTGTCTGTTACCACCATGTTCGGCAGGCCATGTGTGCTAAAGACGTGCCTCATAGCCCGGATAGCGGCCCGGGATGAGGTGGAAGTGACTGGTACGACTTCCAACCATTTGGTATACGAGTCCACTAGTATAAAGAATATTTGCCCCTGGAACAGGTTGGCGAAGTCCAAATGTATCCATGTCCACGGTTTGTGGGTGGGCTCCCACTGATGCATGGGGGTCTTTGGAGGTTCGGGATGTGTCTCCTGGCAGGCCTGGCAACGCTGTACCCAGGCCTCGATTTCACTGTCCATCCCTGGCCACCACACGTAGCTTCTGGCCAGTGCCTTCATTTTCACGATTCCTGGGTGGGACTCGTCCATGGCTACCAACACCCCTTTTCGCAGCGGCGGGGGAACCACCACCTGTTTCTCCAGAGGAGGCACCCTTTGTGCACGGAGAGTTCGTTTTTTCAGGATGTGAATGTGGTGAATTCAGGGTCCACCCCAACCCGTGGGCCATCCCCTCCCCCCCAGTCAACTGTATATTCATCTAACCTAAGGAACATTTTATTTGGAACATTTGGCTGTACAACCTTAGATGAATATACAGTTGACCAGAGAGAAGTACCACTGGACATGTGGTTTCACTGGAGGCTTCATTTGTATTTCTGTATTTCTTTTCCTTGCCCAGTGGTTAAACTTTGGAACAATTGATTTCTGGTCTTTATTCCATATTTTGTATATGTAGAATTGTATGTATTTTTGCACATCAGCCAATATGTTCTGTATGTATTAGACCTCTGAGGAAGGCCTGTAAAGGCCGAAACGCGTTAGGTCTATCTTATTAGGTCTATCTTATTAGCCCTTGTATGTTTTTATAGTTTTATATGAGGTATGAATGGGCCCTTGTTTGTTATTTTAATTTATGTTGAATAAACACACATATATATTTTTGTTTATTTTATGATTAGATTTTTAGAGTTGGCCCTTTTCTATTCCTGACTAACCTTTTTAGGGTCTGAATTCTAGGTTTAGGTTCAGTTTTTTCCCCCTTTTTTCTTCTTTGTACATTTTCACCCTGGCCACGATCGCAAGGTCCTCCTTGTCTGTCTGGGTGTAGTTCCGTTCCGATGACAACAAGGTCTGGGAGTAGTAGGCTACTGGCACCTCCCGCCCGTCTGGCAACTGATGGCCGAGGACTGTGCCGACGCCGTAGGGAGAAGCATCTCATGCCAAAATGACTGGCAATGTCTCGTCAAAGTGGGCAAGGATGTCGTTTGATGTGAGAAGCTCTTTTACTGTCTGGAATGCGGCGGTCTGCCACCAACCCCACACCCAGGGGGCCTTTTTGTCAAGCAGGCGGTGGAGAGGTTCCGTGAGGGGGCAGAAAGGAGTGATAAAATTTCAGAAGCCCCAAAAATGCCTCCAACTCTGCCTTGGGGGCCAGGGCATTCTTATGGCATGAACCTTGTCGTGTGCGGGGTGGATGCCATCCATGTCCACAGAGGAACACCACCCGGGGAACTCCCAAGAGGCACTTCTCCCACTTCACCTTCAGGCCGGCGGAGTCAAAACGCTGTAGCATGGCACGTAGGTGGGTGGTGTCCTCCTCCGAGGGGGCAGTGATCAAAACATCATCAAAAAACGCCTTTCAAAAGAGAGTTCCATCTTGCAGGGCCTTCCCTCTATCAACACAGTCAGTTTAATTTTGTCAGGGGTGTCCCGGGGCAACACCAGTACCTGATGTTGGTGGACAGCCGTTGTGTGTAGAACCTC